AGGACCTGAGCCAAAGCCCACTGAAATCAAAAGAAAGGCTCCTAGTGGAGTTCAGCAGGCTCTGGATCAGCCCCTCAGCACAGTACTTTGGAGCAAGCTGGAATGAGGCTCCCAGCCTGGGTTGACAGACTTGAGCTGGTGGGGCTAGAGTCCAAGCCACAACTTTAAAGTATGGTCAATACAGCTATTTTTAAGAGCATTAGCCAAAGCACCACTGGCTCAAGTCAGTGACATTTATTCTACAAGACTTATACAATTACAAGGTTTATTATTGTTGCACTGCCAAGACTAACTTCACAGCTATTATGGCTGACTGTGTGACAGCCACTAATCTTTAAGATCTCATTTGAGGCCTTGAGTATTAAAGATCCCACAACAGTCCTCACTACTTTATCCTCACAATCCAATTTTGAATTTCATCTAATATTACTTTAAGCTCGTTAGAAGAAAACCAGCATGTAAAGATTGCCTGTTTAACATGAAGTTTGCATGGCCGATAATTGCTTATTGGACTGTAGCCGTACAGGGAAGCATTGACTCTTACATTAAATTGTTTGAAGCCAGCAGTGCATGTTCATGCACTCTAAAGTATTTAAAAGTCATTTTAACAGCAGTAAGCCTCTCCCTTTTATGTAGAAAACATCACAAGTGAAAAACAAACTGATGCTACCCTAATGCCCACACCTGTTGACAAGATGCTTCACATCAAGTTAAGGCTAGTTTCCACTGAAAATTTACACTGGCATAGTTATGTCTCTCAGAGATGTGAAAAATCCACATCCCTGAGAGATTTAGCTGACCTAACCCTCACTGCAGACAGCACAATTCTTTCGTCGACCTATCGTCGTTCAGGGAGTTGCATTAACAACGACAGGAGAATCCCTCCCATCCCTGTTGTCAAGGCTGATTCCCCACTCTTCCACTTCGAGGGCAGAAGGTGGGGGCCTACGAGGACTCTAATTACTTGTCACTCCAGGCTTGTATTAAGCTCCCAAGGTTACAGCTTTTCTCTGACCTTGGATTGGTAGATGCTGCCATCACCCAAGCCTAAAACCCCTTTGAGAACCCAGGAAGGTGCACTTTGGAATTCCTTTGTGTGGGATACCCTCAAGCTCTTTCATGCCCCCCTCCAGGGAAGAGCTGAGAAAGAAAAACAAAGGAAATCAGCTGTTGCCACTAGCTAATTAAACAAGTGCACAAACCTCTTAGGACTCAACAATCCAATTCTGTTCTTAAAAAAAGGTAAAATTTTATTAAAAAACAAAAGGAAGAAAATATATCTGAAAACTTAGGCTATTGCTAGATTTTAAAAGATCAAATACAAAGATTAAGCATCAAGAATAGTTCTTGAGGTCCAGCTTAAAAGATTACAAGCAAAACAAGCATTTGGGGTTAGCACAGAGGAGTCCACAAGCGATAAAGAAATAAAAGGGATAAACCTAATTGCATCTTCCTAGACATTCCCTGATCTACTTACATATCTGAGGGTTTAAATGAGTAGTTTCTAGGTATGGTCCTGATGATCTTTTCATACCTGGCCCCAAGCTTCTTACAACTTAATTCTGCCCTGTCCCCTCGCTCCAGGAGAACCGCCACTGACAGACAAAAGGGGAGTCTTGTTTCAATTTTAAAAAGTTCTAGCCTTCCCATTGGCTCTCTTGGCCAGGTGCCCACTCACTTCCTTTTACCTACGCATGCAGTCAGACTTTTTAACCCTTTACAGGTAGAGCAACTAGAGAACAGCTACCAAGAGGGATTTCATAGCTACTGGCTGGCTGGGTGTTCATAAAAGGGAGCTACCCCTCCTCCCTCATTTATCACATCAGTAGCAAGTGTTTATACCAGAGGTGGGCAAACTACAGCCCGCGGGACCATCCTGCCCAGCCCCCTGAGCCCCCAGCTGGGGAGGCTAGCCCCCGGCCCCTCCCCCGCTGTCCTCCCTCCCCTACAGCCTCAGCTCGCCATTCCTGCCACACACTGCAGCTGTCTCCAGCATGCTAAGGGGCTGGGGACCAGGGGGCAGTCAGGGGACAGGAAGTGGGTGGATGGGGGGCACTGTCAGGGGAGGGTCGGATAGGCATGGGAGTCCCAGGGGCTTGTCAGGGGGTGGGGGTGCGGATAGGGGTCAGGGCAGTTGGAGTGGGGGGGGGGAGGTCAGATGTGGGGGCCTAGGAGGAGCAGTCAGGGGACAAGGAGCAGAGTGGGCTGGATGGGTTGAGGGTTCTGAGGGGGGCAGTTGGGGGGGTTGGATGGGAGGGGGGGGCAGGATGTTTGCAGAGGCACAGCCTTCCCTACCCAGCCCTCCATACAGTTCGCAATCCTGATGTGGCCCTCAGGCCAAAAAATTTGCCCACCCCTGGTCTACACTGAAGCACTACATTGGTATTGCTCTCGCATTTTAGTGTAGAAATAGCCTCAGACTCATTGCTGGTGGCAGGTTGCCAGTTCAATTAGGCTTGTTACCATGCTCCAGGTAATATAAAAGAGAAAGAGAGAGAGAAAAATTATTTACAGCAACTTCTCCTCTGCTCTCCACACTTATGATCTACATTGTTCCTTCAGCATAAGGCACCAAAGCTGGGCGTGTAGATGAATTACCCTTTCCAGTTGAAAGAACAGGAGTCCTTGTGGCACCTTAGAGACTAACAAATTTATTTGAGCATAAGCTTTCGTGGGCTAAAACCCACATCATCAGTTGCATAGAATGGAACGTATAGTAAGAAGATTATATATAAATAAATATAAAAAGAATAAGCACCCACACCCACAACATGAAAAGGTGGAAGTTGCCACACCAACTCTAAGACGCTAATTAATTAAGATGCGCTATTGGCAGGAGGAGAAGAAGAACTTTTGTAGTGATAATCAAGCTGGCCCATTTCAGACAGTTGACAAGATGGTGTGAGGATACTTAACAAGGGGAAATAGATTCAATTTGTGTAATGACCCAGCCACTCCCAGTCTCTATTCAAGCCCAAGTTAATGGTATCTAGTTTGCAAATTAATTCCAGTTCAACAGTTTCTCATTGGAGTCTGTTTGAGGCTTTTCTGTTGCAAAATTGCCACCTTTAAGTCTGTTACTGAGTGGCCAGAGAGGTTGAAGTGTTCTCCTACTGGTTTTTGAATGTTACGATTCCTGATGTCAGATTTGTATCCATTTATTCTTTTGTGTAGAGACTGTCCAGTTTGACCAGCGTACATGGCAGAGGGGCATTGCTGGCACATGATGGCATATATCACATTGGTAGATGTGCAGGTGACTGAGCCCCTGATGGCATGGCTGATGTGATTAGGTCTTATGATGGTGTCACTTGACTAGATATGTGGACGGAGTTGGCATCGGGCTTTGTTGCAAGGATAGGTTCTTGGGTTAGTGGTTTTTGTTGTGTGGTTGCTGGTGAGTATTTGCTTCAGGTTGGGGGGCTGTCTGTAAGCGAGGACTGGTCTGTCTCCCAAGATCTGTGAGAGTGAGGGATCGTCTTTCAGGACAGGAGAACACTTCAAGCTTTCTGGTCACTCTTAAGAATTGGTGTGGCAACTTCCACCTTTTCATGTTCTCGGTGTATATCTATAACGTATAGTAAGAAGAATGCTTGAGAGGAAGAGAGAAGAGGGGAAAAGGTAAATCTCACTCAGATACTTCAGTGATGGGTGCAGTAAGAACCTAAAACAATCTCAGCAGCCTCCTAAAAGTCAGACACTTTACAGCAGCTGCACATCTTTTCCACCCACATAACAGAAGTCTGTTTTTCTGATTCTGTAATTTTGCTTAGGAGCATATGAATTTGCAAAGAAAAGGGAACAGAATTTAAAACCAGACAGACTGGACTCAGAGCATGTGGGAATATGGCCAGAAAGCTGGTAAATCTGAATGTTTTCACCTAGATACAAACAGATCCAGGTTAGAAAGTTACACATTTCAACTTTAAAAGGAAACAAAGTTCTTTATTTGAAAGCAAAAAAAATATTCTCCAAATGGACAGAGGAAGCCCAGCTACAGCCAGGTGCACATTTTCATACACAGCATTGTTAATATTACAGCAACTATAACTGGATCTTCCATGTGGAAGGTTAGTGTTCCATTCCATTCTTTCTTAGATGTAGGCATACAATTTTAAAATGCTGATTATACTGTTTCTGCTGGGCCAATCTTGTAGATCAGAATACTGACAATGAGATGCATGTTACGAGTATTTGATTCAGGCCATATCTACACTTGGAAAAAAGTATTTTTGCAAAGATGACTAACAAAAAAATCACACAGTGGACAAAGTTGTAGTTTCACCTTGATGTAGCTGGTCAAGGTGAATCCTAGACCAGCTAAGCCTAGAAGTAAACTATAACTTGCCCTATCTACAGTAGGATTTAATATTTTGGCTAGCTTATTATAAATACTTTAATTGCAGCCATGGACCTTGAATCCAGAGCCAAGGCAGACACTGGACGTCTTAAATGCTACAGGGAAGTCAGCCCTCAGGATATAGGTTGACTGCTATTAGTTAATCCTTGACAATCTACATTTAAAGCAATGTAGTTATCATGCAACTAGTGTCCACAAAACATAAAAACAAACTCCTAAGCACAGTACATTGATCCTCTTGCAATCTTCTATTGTAATTTTTTTGTTCCCTTTCTTACTGAAGGCCTGAAGGAGTGCCCCAAGCACAGAACCTGGGATTCTAGAGGCTTGCTCTTGTCCTCTTATAGACCACACTGCTTCCATTATTTTGATGTATTTTAAAATTAAAATGCTTTTTGTATACCACAAATGGAAGGTCAAGGATACAGAATATCCCAAATTATTCAAATTTCCTCCTCCCTCTCCCAAACTCTAGGCAAGACAGGTTTATTTAGGTTTAATCTATTTCAGTAGGGCTTTTATATACTATGACAAGTAGACTGAACTGGTCTGGTTCTGGATATTAAAGGCATGTGGCTTTCAGTGTACCAGAGTTATGACACTTTGGAAAATGGAAAACTGAAAACGCAGAACAGAGAGATCACTTAGCAATTACAGAAGTGTTTATTGTCCAACAATGAAATGAACACAGTCTAAAACTTTGTAGGACTTTTTGTACTCCTCCAGCCTCTAGAGTGGCAATTCCACCTTCACTTGTACAAAGCTGGCAGTCACTTCTACACCTATGATACAGGCATGTCCCATGTTCTGGGAGACAGTTAGATTTAAAACAGACTAGAGCCGGGGGGGGGGGGGGGGGAGAAGGAGGAGAAGATACTGTTCTAACAAATGGGGTCTAACAAATCTGCCACAATTGCAAGCTCAGTTGTCAAAAAGCGAGTGAAAGTTCATAACTTTGTTTTGCATAACTCACTCAAAGTTCAATACACCTTTATACACAGTGTGCATATGAATACACAGAGAACTGGAAACTAAACTCAATAAGTTTCCAAGCTTTGGCATGAATGTGTGTGTTTGCAGGGAGTTAGCAGGCCATGGTCTTCGTACTCGAAACCCTGAACCACACTGAATTGTTTAGTATTGTACAGTGATACAGTCATGTTATTACCTTGGAATAAACAGTCCCACTTATTCCATCAAAATTAGCACCACCACACGCGAACATGTGTAGCTATCATGGAACTTGTTCACAACCTTCATTTCATGAGGTATTTCCAGACATGTAGAATGGGGCTCTTATGTTTTCCTCATTGCTTCAGTTAGTTTTCTCCTTGTCTCCAGGAGCCCTTAGGTATCTTCCCCAAAATCTTTAAGACTGCTGTTTGAATTCCCCTTCCATTTTGACTCCCCACACCAGCTCTCCTAATTTCTTCAGACTGACATCTTCTTGCCAGGTCTGCTCCCTTATGCTATTTAGTCTGTTCCGCCTTCCTCCAATGATTGATACTACAGATGTGTCTAGACCACTGCCAGTTACAGAATTGTTGCAGAGCCTCTGCAGCACCACATAGTGGGTGATGGGAAAGCAAGACTGGGAGCAGTAAGGTGAATGGGGGAAGTAAGTGCTCGGAATAGAACAGGGGTAAAGTGTTAAAAAATGCTTAAGTTGCACTTTCAAAACCGACTTTGGAACTAGGCTCTTAAGTGCCTAAATCAGTTTTGAAAATGCATCTTAGGTGCATTACCCATATCTGATTATAATTTCCCTTTGAGAAGTGCTTTTAAAACTTCTCTCCAAAGAGAATGATAACTTTGTTACCACCCTGTTTAAAGTACTAGCTCCTTGGTGAAACATGTTCAAGCATTTACAATCCATAAGTGGCCTACCATTTATCCAGAGAATAGTGCATCAGACATCAGAATATTCAGATCTGTCGATAAAACAGAGGCTTTCATAACAGAGCTGTAGCAATAGAGGGTTTGATGTGCTGAAATCTTAAAAAAAAAATGCAATACAAGCAGGTATGTTTTGAGGGAGGATATACAGAGATTTTAATCAGGTTTACTATTTACAGTTGAGATCACTTTCACATACTATTTGCTATCCTACATGGCTACATTTCCAAACCAACTTAAGATCTACAATATAACAGTTCACTCAACACAAAACAGCTCTTCATAGAAAAAATGAAAATTCATTATAGAACAGTAGTGCATACATTTTGCTCCTGAAAAGCCAGCTTTATTTTAAAACACTAAAATTTGAAAGATTGGATCTCTGAATTTGAGAAGATCAAAGATGCACACTTGTGATTCTAAAATTATTTTGGTTAGTAGTCATTTCATACAATTTATCTTTAAAGTGTACCGGACTTTACCTATGTTTTTTAAAAAAAAACGACACTGGTGAGAGGTAAGAATTAATATATTTACCATCACAAATTAAATACAGCAGACTTCCTTTGTACAACTTTGGCCAAAAAAAGTTCCACATAGTGAAGATTTAAAAGGATTCCATATATATGTAAGAATCAGTCAGTTAATGCTTAGAGGTAATCTACCGAATTAGGCACACTTCCTTTAACTTTCATGTCAACCAAATTAATCTTGATCTGCAAATGGTTCTGAAGTTAGAAAGTTTGCCAGTATACTAAAATATATTTAGATACATGAATAGCTGGCTACAATAGTGAGTCACAGGTAAGTATGTGGGTATGTGGAAAGCCACGCTGCTTTGCCCATCACCAGTGTACATTACAGCTGTCCTCATCTGTGCAGGGTGTGTTTTAGCTAAGTCTACATAGGCAGGAAAACTACTGCAGTAGACCAGGCCCATTCACCTTCCAAGTAATAAGAGATTCAAGCTTAGGTTTGCATTATCTTCTATGCGTAGGTTCCTCCAGTGATAAGAAGCTCGTAAGCAGGATCCCGGCTCCTCCTACACAACACTACACAGGCACACAGCATGCCCAGCAGCTATGGAAAGAAGAAAAACGAAATTGAGTACACAGCAGATACTTGCAAGAGATTGGTTTCTGGACATTAATCACTGGCTAGTTGCCAGTATGTTTCAAATGGCTGTATATCAAGCCTGAAATGTGAAGAAAGGCAAAATAAGATGACTTCTGAAAAGCTTTACCAGCTACTGTATATACTACATAAAATTAAGCTCCAAGCTGATCCTAACCAAAAAAAAAAAAATCACCTTATAGGAGCATCTTTCATTAGGCTATTCCTTGGTCAAATCACTTGTTGTATTCTGCCTCTATTATGCCAACAGATGTAAATCAAGACTAATTTAAAAAGGATGGAAACTTTATATTAGTGGATAAGAAAAAGACTGAATTCAAGGTGAGGTGGTTTAACACTCAATTGCCACAGAAGATCGATATCTAAGTGCCAGAAGTTTAACATTTCAAAGGGGAAATTAGAACCATACTATTTGATGATTGAGGTGTCAATTACTATAATCCAGAATGTACAAAGTCAGACTGTACTTTAAGTTAACACAATTTGACTGGTCTGTTTAAAAAAAGGACATGGTATAGCTGGAATCCTCTTCTTTGCTAATGTGCCCAATTTGGGCAAAGTGTGTCCAATGTTGTAGTCTTCACCTTTTAAAAAATCAAGTTAGTGCTGCAAAGGTTGGCGCACAGCTGCTCTAAGGGCCACTCTGGCAGCTTGCCAGAAACCTGGGGGTTCAGCTAATTAACATATAAATGTACATGAGATGTTAATCTGAGATTAATGTATTCATGGCTGTAAGTAACAAAGTACTTTACAAAAAGAAGTTAAATGCTTGAGGAAGACATCAATGAGAAGGCTGGAACTGCTTTGCAGCCAAGTCCACAATTTCTGGCTTTACCTTTTATGAGGCCTTATGAAAAGGTTGCCAGTTAAGTTATTGTTTAGATTCGTTCATAAAGCTGAATAAAGGAAGAAGTCTGAAAAGATGTAAGTACTTCCCAAAGAGGCCACCCAGACAGCAGCCCTCTTACATAACTTGATATCTGCCTGCAGGGTGACATTTATAGAAATTCAGTAGGTTCCTTCATAAATCTTGGACTAAAAGTGAACGGAACATTGCAACTCAGTCAAGTCATGCTGAAATCTGGCCTTGCTTCTTCGAGTTTAACAGAAAATAGGCCTGCAGGCAGACCAATACATTCAGAATCTTCTTGATTTGTGCTGATTACATAGGGAAATTCACTCCTCTCAGATTTGCATTTACTGACAAGGAAACACTATTGGGCAACGATTGGACAGTGAAACTATTAAAAGTTATGTACTAAATGTTGTGTGTGTCCAGGAATGTACACTTGCACATTGAAACTCAGTAACATTAAGTGATGTTAGCTTAAATCAATGCCAAAGTTTGTGTTCTAAGTCAGTATTAAATTTAGTTATCAATGTTCAGTTCAAAATTCATTAAAAAAGTGACAATGAATTAGTCTTCAATCACTGGCAATACCATCACCATAAATATTCCTGACTGACATCATTAAAAGCCAACCCACTTCACTAACCATATTTCAAACATAAATGTAGTGTAAGGAATTCCATAATGTTTATAACCATTACATATAAAAAAAATTAATCATAGCTTATGACTGGGTGAAGGCAGCCAAATTATGTATTGTTCTAGACCTGACTTGACCCAACAATGCCTGACCGATTCTATATGCATTTAATGGGATGCAGCCAATTATTTCATAGAACAGTTTGATAGACTTGCAAGTGCATCAGCTGTTAGAATATCAGTCTCCAAAGGAAAACACGCTGCTGAAATTTTTGGCCAGAAGAAAAGGTTTCCATGTTTGGTGTTTTGGTTAAAATAAAGACCTTGAAAGTATTGGTATGATCTATTTATCAAGAGAACCTTGGTTAGTGTTAAAAATCTTAACATTCACCAAAATATTGCTCTCTACTTCACTGCAGTTAGTACTTACATCTTGGACCAATAAATCTTATCTTCAACACAAGTTAATATTTGCTTATTTTTGAAAGCTGTAACTTCACACCTCCCTGCATCAAAACTTTATACTTATCCTCAATGATCAGATCTGTTTTCTTAGCTTGCCCACTGTAGTTTTAATTACACAGTATCAATTTCCCAATGTCAGCCATTTTGTAGTTTACATGCACAAAGTTAGCGGACAGTACACTAGATCAGCTGGGTCACTCTGCAGTTATGAAATAAACCCAGGTTTTTAATAAATATGTCAAGCAAGTGTTAGGAAGTAGAACTTGCTCAGGAATACTTTAAGAGAAAGCTCCCACCTTTGACAACACTACTGGTCCACTGAACAAAGCTTAGAAAATAAGCTATTAAGAAAAACTGCCTCCCAGCTAATCAGCAGTGTATGTACAGAACCAATGCATTTAGATGAATTTGCCCCTTTCAGCTTGCTTGCAGTTTACAGGAGACCGGCCCACACTGTCAACATGGCTGAGACCTTTGAATGCTCAGAGAGCAAAGGATCCAGCTGGTGACTGGAAGTCTGACCACCACTTCAAATGGACTTTAAAGAAAAGTGACCCTAAATCTGTTCATTCCGATCCTGGATTCTGCCTCACAGAAGTTTATACCACCACCCTAATGGATTAACAAAGTGGTGGCTTTACTGGAACCCTTCAGAGAGGAGAGAATCCAAGCAAATGATAAAGATTTTAAAGAAAAAGCAGCTTTTATGTTTGTGATAGAACCAACAACAGTTTTTGCTCCAACCTCTCAGAAATAGTAACTGTGCAATAGCACAAACTTATTTTATTGAAGACTGACAAACTAAGTTTAAAAGAAAAGGTTTTAAAATCTTGAAACCAATGGAAGCGTCTGATTTTTTTTAATACACATTTTTAGCCTAAGATTGTCCCTTTTATGTGATCACTTAAGTAACATTTCTGCCTCATCCTTGTAGGCTATTTTATTCATGTTTATCAGAAACAGCCTCCAGTCAGTTCACTAAAAGCCACATGTTCAGAATTAAAACTGACAAAGAGAAAACCGTTCAATTCACCATTCAAGCAAGCCAAAAAAAAATCCATCCAGACATGTGTAGACTAAGAAGTCTATTACTCGGTCACTCATCAATGATTCCAAAGAGCCACATAACTTAGTACGAAAAAAAGACTTTACCAAAGTATTACATTAATTTCATTTTCTTTCTTAGCAATTGTTTGCAGAACACACACCGATTAGTGATTAATGCATATTGTGAGAAGGGACAGTCAATGATAAAATTCTCTAATGATTTTTTAAAATTCATTTAGAACTTTGAGAACTTCCACAAAATTAGACCCAAAATTTGATCCATCTTATAAAAAAAAAAGTTATATGAAAACTTGATGGCATTCCTTCAACTGAAGTTTAAAACAAGTTGATCAGACAGTATAGGTTCTGGCAGCACAAGCAAAATTTTCTTGCCCCTTCATTCCTAGTTCCTTATTCTGACATCTAAGCTACAAGTGTCTTGTTTAAAAAAAAAAAAGCGTCTCTAGAGTTAGACACTTCTAGAGATATTCTAAAACAAGATTATACCCAATGGTGATGCAGAATGACTTCTTGTGCAGAATTTGTGTAGGATGTCAAAGAAAACGTGTGCTGTCACTTTAGTGGAGCCGTCACACAGCAACTTCTCTTTAAACTCTGGTGGGTCTAGCGTTCTGCATTAGCTCAATAGCAGGGAAGTACCAGCTCCTAGGAAGAAGGGCTATTTTTCACAAAAAGTGAAAGTAATCTTTCATTGCCTCGGTCTTTTCATTTTAAAACAAATATTCAAAACTGAGTTTGCTAAGCTGGGGAAACAAGTTAAACTTTTAGGTTACAGCGACAATACAGAATTGCTGTAAGCAGAGCTGCCAGAAGCATTATTCTTACTGTATTACAAACACAAAAGAATGAGGTCATAATGGGGGCTGTGTGCATTCTTAAAGCCTTGATCAGAAATTTTACTGAATGGAGAAGATCACGGCTGCTGTAATTCACATTTACTCGGTCAAAGTCCATTTGTTAAAGGTTACATTCTTGTCCACATTTAAATTAATTTTTATACAGTCTTGCTGTGCCATATGCACAAAGTAAATACGGAAATTCCATGTATTATACAGAATCATGGCCACACTACATGCTACAGCTTTACAATGGTCTACTGGAGGTTTACTTAATAAAGTCAAGTCAGTTAGGACTAGGCTTAAAGGAAAGCAGAGTATGACTATATAAAAATTAGATTAAACCAATGTCTTATTTAATACTGAAACCTTGTTAACTATTACAACAAAACCAATTAGATGATGTAACATTTAATGAGCTTAATAGTTCCTATTGCAGTCAGGGCTAAGCAGAAATGCCAGGTGTCTAACAGAAACTGTTTACTGAACACCAGAGCTATATGTTTAAAATCTTATAATCTACTTTCTTAATGGTTGTTAGATGGTTTGCTTCAGTTCTACATGAAGACATTTCAAACAACATACGTCAATATCTTGGTAAGGGCAGAAAACCCCTTTTGATGTTTCCTCATTTTTTTGGCAAAGTGTTTACATAGCCTTTTCTGCAGACATAATTTGGAGTCTCCCTGCTGATAGCTAGATTACTGCCACGTGGCACCACAAAGCAAGTGCCACCCAAAGTGCAGAGACTGCACAATGAGCATACTTGCTTGCAACTGGCAAGCCAGTGGGACACTGACAGGCACACAGAGTGAAACAGAGTGGCATGGGTTATAGCCCCATGCAGAGGGGCTAGGATTTTTAACAGTGCTGTAAGCCATTTTTGGGGGGCAGGGGAGGAGGATGACAACAACATCTCTTCACTACATCAGACTCCAAAATAAGTATAGCTCTTTTTGACAATTAGGACACAGCTTCATAAACTTTTCCCCTACATGTTTCTTAAAGTGGGGGGGGGGGGGGGGGGGAGTGGGGAAGATGAGGAAGGAATTCTACCTTAAGCCCAGACAAGAAAAGGCAACTCTAGTTGCTAAACATTGAACTCAGTGCCTGGCAACAACCAAAAAAAAAAAGAATACTAAGAAACATCAATAAAACTGAACTGAACTGAAACCAGGCTACCAAGACACTGCACAAAAAGCTGCAAAGAACAAGTGATGTGACATACTTGAGTAAATAGGGTATACTGAAGATTTTGCTAAAGCATAGAAAGGACAGTTAAGATGCTGAAAGCTCTCAAGGAGAAGATGCAATTTGCAGTAAACCATGTGAAGATTAACAAAGGGATTGACTTCCATTTAGGAAGGAGGCACAAAGGATACTAAAACAGCAATAGGCTTGAACAAGCAGCATTACAATTTTAGGAGAAATTCTCTGAAATGTAGATTTGAGTGTAAATAGAACAATCCTATTTTCACTTTGTCATTCTTTGTTTCCAATTATTTTGGCTGCCCATCTCTGGGGCCTATTTCTGTTGTTCTTCCTCCCCAAAGGAGGTTACCCAAGCTAAACACAAGTTGATTTAACACCTTGTACTGTGTATAAGGTTCTTCAGTTGAATTTCTCTTCTCAGTAAGTTCATACTGCAGTAACTCTTGAAAAGAAAGTATAAACTAAAAGAGTTTTGACAATCACCTGGCTGCTGTTTGGCATTGTAAGAGTTTAACAAGCCAAACAATTTTGCTCTATGAAGATTTCTGAATGTTAATATACAGAAGAACATGCTTTCAACTCTTTGGAAACAGCTTTCAACTGAAACTTCCATTTCTGATCCTATTTGAGGCACCTACCTTGCTTTACAGAAAGCCAGCACAGCTTGTTACAATTTCCATCTCAACAGCTGAACATTCAAGAGCATTTTTCCAGAGTAATTAGAACTATTCCTAAACACTGAATTATCTCTAAGCACCGACTGTTCACCCCTATTATAAACTACTTCTGCTCTAACACTGATTTAGTTAAAGTAGGTTTTAATATTTACTATTAAATAATTCTGATGGCAGAAGGATGCCAGTTTTCAACTGGCATTAGGTTCCCAGACTGCAAAAGTATCTTTCTTGAGCAAGATGGTTAATTCTAGCAAGCAACTCAGAAGCACTTTTAAACGTAATATGACTTCAAATACACTAAGTTTACACAAGGAAAAAAACCTCTCCACAGGAATGTCATAATACTGCATAGTGCAAGATGGGTACAAGACTGAGCACAATTTTCAAAACACCAAGGCAAAATGCATTACTTTAACAGGAGATCCAAACCTTCCTCCAAAAGACTGGAATAATCAGATCTATCCAAAAGCAAAAATGAGCATTTCACAAATCTGAAATAAGCCAGCTCAAGACAATGAAACCATATTAAATGCATAGCATTTATACACAGATCTATCTGTTTTACAAGTTTATCTTAGCACTGAGATGGAGTTCCATTACTGGATGCATTTTCAGGTGCTGAACATTGGCAAAAATTCACCTTTAGATAAATTTCAATCCAAAAGTTAAATTATGAAAGTTTAATAACTTTATTCAGCTGTTTTGACTTTTCTGAAGGCAGAAAGTATTACACTAGTTAAAGTTTTCTGCTGCAAAAGGCTGGGAATTATTTAGTTAGCTTTAAAAAAAATTAAAAAAATCCCCAAAACCTTAGTACTCAGCATGCGCACTACAGTTTTCACTGGGGACTGCAATGCCCACTGCCACATCAGAAAACACCTGATTAATGCCTTGAGTTTTTTAGAGGTATTAACTGGTTAAACTAATGAACAGAAGCAGAATTCCAGACATACAGGCACATTTAAGAGTAGGTGTCAGAACACTTGTTCGAAGTCCAGTTACTTAGAGAATTAAATATTTTAATATGCATCTCAATATCTGGGGAACTTAGTTAAAATGTTTTAATTTTACAGGATTCAAAGTTATGGTATTCAGAGCATCTGTAAGTCGGCCACAATGCACCTGCTCATTAAGGAATATAACTTATCATAAAGAAGAACAGAATACACTACATACGTGCAGCATTACAAAGATGTTCACTATGACAATCAATGCACTAACTGAACTTCAGTTAATAACCATCAGCTGTGATGCTTGAGCATGTGTGTACAGAGCATTTGCATTCAGAGCATTCTTACTGGAGGGTCCTCAACTCAGGACTTCGCTTCCCCTGAAGGCCCAGCATTTGAATCAGACCTTCAGAGCAAAGTGCAATGCCCCCTTTCCGAAGGGCCACCGTAAGAGTCAGCTATCAAAAAAATCTGGCTATATTTTTAGGTGGTTCCGAGATACCATGATTTAATTGTTGATTTATTTCCTGATAACAGCATTAGTATGAACTGCCCCTATTTGTTTTAAGGGCGTTGTAACTATTCAAACAAACGTTAACTATCATTAAATGTATCTATGAAAAATATTTGCTCAGCATGAATGTCAGGTGTGTTCAGATGCATCTGATCATTTATATTGGAGATCCTAGATCAAATGGAGGCAAGACACATTCCAGCAAAAGTCAAGGCGCTGAACAACTTAGAAATAACCACGAGTAATCAATTTAAAATATTTGGTTATTTGACACTTGGGTCAATGGAACTCAGTCAAAATAAAAAAAACCTAAGTTTGTTGAAGACTGGTGCGTTTGCATGGTAACCTGGGATTACAGTCCAGAGTTTCATTTTTATATGAAAGGTTATCAGTTAAAAAGTAAATGTTTTGAAATCTCACCTGAATGGCAGCAAATGCCAGAGCTGCCCAGATAACATACATCATGATTTCTTGTAGCTTCTTTACAACTAGAGCCTCACACCCCTGAAACAAACAAGCAGTGCCATTTAGGAAGTATTCAGCCTGGTCATAACTTTGCATAGAAGCTTTGCTTATATCTCCACTAATAAACTGAAATAAATATCAAAAGCAGCAAGTGAATGGACAGAAAATTATAGTGCTAACAGCTTTAAACTCAAGAAAAACTAAGACATTTGAAGGTTGGCTTTTAGGATGGGAAAGCCGACTGAGAAGAGCAAAGTTAGTTATTTTTCAGATTCCAGATCAGATCCAGATATATAAAATATACCCTAAACTTCTGCATTGGCCACCAAAACAGGTAAATTTAAATGACTGTCAGCTTTATACAGACTAGTAAACTGAATTCACAGGCCTGGCTTACCTCAGAATAAAGGTCCATTGGGTGGGTCAAACTGCCAGTACAATTGGTGCTGGTTGCTTTGCAGCAGCTGAGGGGCACGCTGTTATTTTTAGTTTCTTTGAACCACTTTGTGTTCTCCCAGTCTGAATAGTTGTGGCTCCCACAACAGCGCAGCTACAGAAAAACAGAAAAAGCCACCATGTATATCAAAGTTATTAGTAAAGGGACAATAACTAAGAATATGCAGTAACTAATTACAATGCCATGAACAAAGATGTATTAGAATAGGCTGCCTGTGTTATTTAAATATTGAACATTAGAGTAGGTCATGTCACTTGCCACTTAGCATGACAAATGTTTTGCTAAAAACAAACTACAGATTGAATGTTACTAGTATTACTTTCAACTTCAAACTAAATTTATGGCACAGATCCTGAAAACTAGCTATGAAATACTCACTGTTAAAATTCTACCTCTGGATGCTAAATGTTTAACACTGAGTTTTCTATGCCCTCCATCCCATATAAAGTTTGGGACTCCTTATAAGTTTAAGAAAAGCCCTATTCAATTAGGCTTTTCTTCAGATGAGTCGAGGCCTGGAGCCATTTCTTGTGCTCAAATAGCTACAGAACCAACTAAAGAGTCCACTTCTTGCTATGAAAGTGTGCTTCAGAATTTAATCTGATTTTAAACAAGTATGTTTCTAGCCCTCCTGGGTGTGAAGAAAGCCTTCAAAATGTGAACCAAATCTAAACTAATGTAGCACTGTACTACATTAAAATGGGGACGGACTAAAATAGCCTTAAGCCTGAGCCCTAAGGGGATGACAGCAAAGCAATTTACTTCCTTCAGCCCCCAGAAATCTACTAAACTCCCCAACCACACCCCCGCCCGTGCACACTTCAGAGAACAGGGTTGCAGAGGATTGATTCTCTTAAAAAAAAAAAATCCTTTTCTTTTTTTAAAACCCTCCTTAAGAAGCATTTCAGACTCACAGTGTAGGGAAGACTTTCAGATTCCAAGTGAACACATGGCAGCCAAGCCAGGTAGAAATGCCAGGGCTGAAGAAAATCAAATACCCACTGAAGCTGACATATGGGAGTTAATTTCAGAGTTTAAGGCCATGAGAAATTATATGACGCCCAGTATTCCAGTAGTAAAAGAAGAAAGTTACTGACTGGGAAAATAAGAGTCAGCCGTGCCTAGAGACTGGCTTAAGACCAAAAGCAGCAAGTGAGAGCATGCAGTGCAGAACCACATGGCACTACTGGAGCAAAGAGAAAGATGCAGCTTAAACTGGAGGATATAGAAAAACACGGTGAGACGGATCATCAGTATTCAGGGAGTCTCTGAAAGAGGTGAAAGTGGAGAGTGCACACAAGGCACTTGTCCCCTCCACCTTAGAACAGACCCAAACATATCATAAAATTTCATCATTAAACAGAAAGATTTAATCACGGGGGGCGGGTGGGGGGGGCGCGCGCGGCAACAAAAAGAAAGAAAGAGAGCCAGACAGCATTCAGAACTCAAAGGCGACAAGCTGCAATTTTCTCCATGACCCTCGCTGCCTTATCCTTTTTTTTTTTTTTAAATAAAGAGTTGGGAGAAATTACAGCACTATTCAGGAGAGCAGATATCTGCTACAGATGGGGATTCCCATCTAAACTCATTCAGCTTCCAAAAAACCCACCAATATTATACAATAAAACTTTACACAAGGAAAAACACACTAGAGATACTTGGAATAGAAGTCAAAACATCAAGTACAAGAGGATACTGCAGAGGTAGAAATTAAGAATAAAATGCTGAGAAAATTTTTGCAGATGATGGAACCCAAGAGAAAGAGGATAAGAGAAGACAAGCAATTCTAGAGAATGTACTGGCAATGGCAGATGTGAAACTGAACAAGAGGACTCTGATACCTGAGGAGTAACAAGAAGATTAACCAGAAAGGACTTCTTGGGAGTCACCAGGAACGAGCAGTTATTTTAAAGAATAGAGAAAATAAATGATGGGGGGGGGAGGGGTGGAGAGGAAGGAAGGCGGTGGCAGCACTGGGTGGTGAGTCCCAGGGACAGAGGAGATTGGAGAAAAGAGAGAGGTAATAGGGAGGAGTCCTCAGGCCTTCTGTTTAATCCTCTCCATGCAACTCAAATGATCAGATAGTAATCTACTCTTAAGGTAAGGGTTAATGTCCTATGCATGGAGAAGGTACTACCTTTGGACTGCAAGAGAAGCAGTCCCAAGTATTCATGGGGGAGAGTACAGGGGTTTAAGGTTCAGCAAAAAACTCAGTCATTTGGGGCATGATTCTTATGCTACTTTGGTATTTTATTTTTGGATTTAAACTCAGAGTAATGAAGAAGGGAATTAATACAAGAAAATGGATATGGAAGTTCACAAAAAGAAACCAAGCCTTCAAACACACAATTGTGAATACAGCATAATTAGAAAGGACAGACAGACATTGGGCACACAAGTGTTCATGCCATTCAACAGCTAAAGAATGACAATTTCAATTTTTCCAGTAATTGAAATAGTCATTTTCAGTGTCTCTTCCTTTTAAAATAGGAATCTTTGAATGTCAAAGGGCTAAATAAAATCATTAAAGGAAAGAAACTTATAATCTTTAATTGGGTTTTTTACTCCATGAAAATGTATTTCCAGGAGGAACAGATTATGGCTAAGAAAGGTAATTGGTTTCAACAGACTTTTTGGCTTCAGTCAAAGAGGAGTTGGCAGAATATTTGCAAACAAACATGTTTTCCTTTTCAGAGGCATGGAGGGACAGTTTATCTTATTGAAGGGCACAATTACTGGGTTATTAACAGTGGGATCAGTGTACATCCCCCATTAAAAAAAAAACAAACTTTTTTTTAGAGACTTGAAAATACTGCAACGCTTTGGGGAAGGAATAGTTAAACTCGGAAGTGTCTTCAATTGCAGGCGGATTCCTTACCGGGTCAGTTCTGATAAAGAAGTTGGTGGATAGAGAAGCAGGTGCAGCACTGCTTTCACTGTGCCAAAAATTCAGTCGCAGATTGATGGAGAGAATTGCCCCCAAGGGAATGAGGTGGCACATTTTATTCACACCCTCATGATATACTAGATTCATCTCTAAATCCTTAATGAAGTGGACAAGATCTGCAGAAACTAGTACATTACATGGTCAGATCATGCCCCATTGGAAGCAGTATTTGATCTTTGGGATCCATCCCAACTATTTTTTTTTTTTTAAATGAACACTGCTTATTTCTCCAGGACAAAGGTCAGTTTGCAGCAATTAAATGAGGACACTATTCAATATGTTCAAATAAAAGACAGTATAAAAAGAGATCTTCTGTAGGAGGTGGGTAAAGCAGAATTTAGGGTCAGTTGATAAACAGCCTCTCTATTGAAAAATGAAAGAGCTCCAGAAAAAAAGCTTTCATAAGAAACAGGTTCAAAAAAGTATATGAACTAATTATTTGGGAGAAATTGAATAGGTTGATGACAGAGTCCATCAAAAAAGCTCTTCGGTATAACAAAGCAAATGTTTTACGAAAAAGGAAATAAGTGAGAAGCTACTGGTTCAAAGCTTAAAGAACATATTCCTCCAATTAAAAACAATCAGCAAAAGACAGCTGCACACCCAATGAAATGTGTGCTACTTTTGCTGCTTATTATAAACCTCTATATATCAGGTTTCAGAGGAACAGCCGTGTTAGTCTGTATTCGCAAAAAGAAAAGGAGTACTTGTGGCACCTTAGAGACTAACCAATTTATTTGAGCATGAGCTTTCGTGAGCTACAGCTCACTTCAGCTGTAGCTCACGAAAGCTCATGCTCAAATAAATTGGTTAGTCTCTAAGGTGCCACAAGTACTCCTTTTCTTTTTGCTCTATATATCAGACATTCCTAGCCCTGAAATTATTCAAAAATATTTGGAAGTAGCAGGCTTGCTGACAAACAAAACCGATAAAGAAACCTGAGATTAAAAAAATAACAGGAGGAAGATATCTTACATTCAATAGCATGTATGAAAAGTGGTAAAAATCCAGGACCTGATGGCTTTCCAGTTTAATTTACAAGGTTGAGAAGGCAGAATTTGTAGGTCCCTTGAGGGGTACCGTCAATGACATTCTGTTAGGGGAAGAAGTTCCACAACCTATTAAAGAAGCTACTGGTCTCCCCAAAGCTGGGAAGTCCTAATCTAATGCAGCTCTTCAAGTCCTGTCCCACATGGACTTTGTCCCCTAGTTCCTTAATGGATAATTGCTCTTCATACGAGCTCAAAAAAAGTGAGTTACGTTGGGTTAAATCTCCCATTTGAATTACACAGAGGGTCTAGATAGGAATGTTCATTGCCTCCTTTACTTTTTGCATTGGCCATCCTCTCTTTCACAGAGGATAACAATGAATTTATCACAAGAATAAAACTTGTAGGAACACATCAGAAGGTACATAAAAATATTATATCAGTATATAAAGTTAACCAGAACATTTCCCTATAAATTAGTATCTAAAGAAATACATGACTTTGGGAAAACATCTGGATTCATAATAAATTATGCCAAATCTGAAATGTTAGCTCTAAGTTTGCCAGACACAGAGAAGCTATAATTTTAGAACACATTTGGGTATAAATGGGCAAGAAATTTTGTAAGATACTTGGGAATTCACATCTCAAACAACCTAGAAGAGCTCTATCATTTAAAACATCAAACCACTACTTCAGCAAGTGAAAAACATCTGGAGAGCTGGGGGAAGAATACAAATTTCTTGACCAGGAAGAACAGTCGCAGTCAAAAATGAACCTTTTGCCAAGGACATCTTCCTTGTTTAACATTTATTCTGTAATTATCCCAGATAAAAACCTAGCAGGAACACAGAGGAATTTACACGGAATAAAAGACGACCAAGAGTGAGTGCATATATTTGTACAAACCCATTAAACATGGAGACTCGCTATACCAAATATTACATGGTACTAGCAAGCCAGCAAGCTCAAAGCAGTAGTGGATTGGGGCACTCTAACCAAACCAATCAATGGGACTTTATTGAACAAGAAAATTGTGGTGGTGTAAATATTGTTGAGTTACTGTGGATTAAGAAAAAAAATCAGAACCTTCAGAAATATACAGACATCCTCTAGCATATCCTTTGCTATGGGTTTGGGAACAGAACTAGAGATAAGAACTTTTCCCCTTGCCAATGACATTTCTTGCAAATAATCCAGATCTTAATCCAAATCATAAACCACAGAGTTTTAAAAATTGGAAGAGCTATGGAACATAGGGTTGACCAGTGATTCAGTAAACTTTTCTAAATTAGAGATCATAAATAACTAACAGGCATTATGTTTCTCAGCTTCCTACGATAGTTGTATACAGAAAGCTAACTTTAATAGAAGCAATGGCATCTGATCAGTTAAAAATAGCTAATTTATAATCAATCTTTGCAGACAGCTTTCTTAACAAAAAAAGTGTCCACATATGATACCCAGGAAAAGAATCGGGACAAATTATCCCAGAGGAATGGGATTTGATCTGAAAAGAAGGACCAGCAACCTCAACGTGTAACATGATAAAATAAAATGTCTTTAATACTGTTTCAACAGTAGCTTATACAAGTAGGTTAAAATATATACATACATTGAAGGGGAAGAAGTACTGGAGAAATTGTGGTGAGAGAAGATTTTATAGTGGACGTGTCCAAGCATCAGAGTATTGGGATACAATTTGTAATCCAACATAAATAAATATTGGATATTTATCACCAAATGATCCTTGGGTGATCATCCTGGGGCTTCCTAGCACAAAATGGTCACACAAAAGGAAACGAAGAATTGATCTCATCTGTTAGCGAAGATAGTCCAAGTTTATGGGAAGGGTTAAAAAAAACCAAGTTATTGAAAAACATGCCAATTGTGTACCCATCAAAATAGAGAGGGCAAATAGATAAATATCTAGTTACCATTTATTCAATACTCAGTCAACCCACCTGCAAAAAACAAGCACACCTACTCAAAAAAGTTGGAAATTACAGTTTGACAGACATCTGGTTTGTTAAATGTGTAGTCAGATTTCACTCAAAAAAAAAAAACACGCCAGAAACAGCATGTCAGAAGTAGTGTACAGATGCTAACTAACACCCTGTCAAAGTAATCTCAAATCTCTCTATAAAACTAACCAAACTATTGTTGTAATTAGTATGGTTTTGTTTCCAATATCTACATGACAAGGATTTGTAAGTCTGTTCAAAACTTGTTAAATAGTTTGAAAAAAAACTGACTTGAGGCCACAGCATAGACAGGAAAAGTCCCAGTGAGATTCCCAACAGTGGAGTTGCATCAGTGGTGAATTACATATCTCAACTCTTTTGGGCTACACTTTCCCTTCACTATGGAATTTCAGGAACAACAACAACAACAAAAAAACCCCAAAACTTCCCACCAGTCGTACCGTTTGTTCACATGCACAAATTAGAGTTTTAATGCAGAGAACTCTGGAGGCTAGTTTTTAAAAATTGACAATGGTGAAAAAGCTGGAAGCCACTGGATCTTGTCTAAACTTGGTGAGATTTTCTGCCAAAAATTCCCTGGCACAGATAAAATAAAGCCAATCATGGCCCTTCAAGTCAATAAGTAGCTTTTATGCCACCACAACTTCATTTGTGTGTCCACCTTTATAGCGAGCTAGCAGCAGATGGGGCAGTGCATTCTGGGATGTCCTACTGCAGAGAAATATTGAAGGGAGACAAGTACTAAAGGAAACAGTGGCAAACAATCCCCCCAAAAGCACACTGAAGTGGTAACAGAAGGACAGTTGTGACATCCTAGATCTCTTGCAACAGCTAAACAGTTAAGTGTCATGGGTACTAGTAGTTTTAACTGTTTATATTGTGACCAAGCTACTGTTTATAATCTTGGTCAAAGTTGTAATGTGGACACCCTCTAACAAACCCCAGAGCAATATAATGATATTCAGAGCTCCTCATACAATATGGACTTCATGAGATCTACAATTACAATCAACTTTCTATTATGTTGGCTCTCACCTGTCTCTGTACATAATCAATAGCGCGGGTGGCAGCATCAGGGTTTGTCCCACTGTATGCATCATACACCTTCTGAATGCTGTGATCAACTTCATCCTCCACCTACAAAGCAAACATTAGTGCACTTTCAAACTATTGGTACTACTCTGGGCAGCACAGTCCTTTTTTCGGCTGCAAATAATAGGGTGTTGTCTAGGCTTATTCAATTAGGTGAGTTAATTGCGTTTTACAGATTACTGTACCTCGGAGAAATGGCTTCGCTTTTGGAATGCTGATTGGTTTGTATTTTGTACAAATACTAATTTAATGCTAATGGTTAAAAGCTACAATTAAAAATACTCTGCACAGAAAGTGAGGATGAATAACTCTACCTTGTACAGAATTTGGGGCCTTAAGCTGCTTCAGGACATCTATACAGTATTATAAAAATCTAAATTTCTGAAATATTTCTGAGCCGAGACATCACTTTCCCTCTTTCATTGCTTTTATTATGGGGTTGAGGCTACACCAACTACAGACTTAAGTTTGCAAACGAGTCTCCCTTAGAAGCATGAATTTTGCTACCCTACTCTTTCAAAAATATCAACAAATGAGGAAATAACTTCCAGGTTAGGTTTGGGCCCAAGGCAAAATGTGAGGAATCTGAAGTAAATAGATGTACACTGAAATCAATTTATGTTGGTACCAGTCTGTTTTGGAATAAAGTTAGCTAAAATGGGGATATGCTAAATTTGTTACTGACTCGAGTCCATTTAGTCAATTTTACTCTGAAATAAAAAAGAGTGTCCACACATAAATTTGCCCCCAAAATAGCAAAACTGGTGTCAATTCAACCTGTTATTTTGATGCACGTGTGTGTGTGGAACAGCCCATACAGATGAGCCGCATGGGGCAGAGGTATAGTGCAGATGGCAGAAGTCTTGACCTCCAACTGACTGAGTTTTTAAAATCCTGTGCCAGTGCCAGAGGTGAAGAAAGCCTCCACTATTCTGTCCAGAAGACAAGTCTGGAACCGTTCAATTGACAGACTGACTAATCCCAGCTACCTACATGTGGAAATTAATCTTTCAAAAGGAAATTTCTTCTCATTTAGCAGACAAAATGAAAGATCTGAAATGGGCTGGCTGCTGTCATGGAGAAACGCATGGAGAAGAAACACATCGCTCTAGGTAAAATGTGTGTGCAAATTGGACCCAGACCCCTCATCGCTAACAGGATGTAGGAAAGTTTCAAATGCACCAAAGGTTAGTTATGCCTCCATTTGGAAGTCCAGAATGCCAGCTTCCCCAAATAAGCTGTCACTGGGCTCAGTCTCACTTGATACTCAATCTTGCCAACTACCGTCCAGTCTTCCTTTCTGTGGAGATCTGTCACAAGGAATTCTGACACCATTTTTTAAAACCTGTTCACTCTCTTGTTCTGAATAGAAGATGTACACAGCTCTGGTCTTTGCTGATTAACTCCTCCTGGCAACAAACAATGATCAGGTGTCTATGTTGATACTTTCAGATCCTTCAGCAGCCTTTGATAAGGCTGTATGGCCATTAATGCTCTGCTAGTCTAGAGTGATTTCACTCCCTCCCTCCCCAAAGTGGTAGAGGGTTGTTTGGGGCAACTTCTTTTCTACCAGATATCTAGGTTCTATTTTGTTGCCCCTTCTGTAGAGTCATGTGAGACAACAGCAAGCAATATATTTGGCTTCCAGGGTCATAAACAGCAGACAGGCAGGTCTGTGTCTCATTTTCATCTGATTTGAATGATGTGGGTTTTGTTTTCCCAGTTCTTAGAGACTGGGATTTGGAAGAGAATGAGCTGGCTGAGGCTCAACCCAGATCTGAGCACAGTAATCCATACCTTTGATCTTTAGGCTAGAGTACTGCATTGTACTTTGTTGGAAACTACCCCCTAAAAACTACTCTGAAGTTACTGATGTAGAACACAGCTGCTCATTATTAGGTAACATTTCATTAGTTTCAGGAACTGCAGTGTCTTCCTATTTTACTTTTAATGACTAGTCAAGGTGTCGATTTCAACCTACAGAGCCCTATAGGTAGGGCCCTACCAAATTCACTGTCCATTCTGGTCAATTTTACAGCCACAGGATTTGAAAACTAGTCAATTTCACATTTTCAGATGTTTACATCTGAAATTTGATAGTGTAACTGTTGGAGTCCCAACCCAAAAGGGGGCTGGGCGGGAGGGAGGGTTGCAAAGTCAGGTACCTCCCCCTGCTGCAAGAAGCTCCACAGCTGGGCAACAGCCCTAGAGCTTCCTGTAGATGCAGGAGGTACCCGGAAGTGGGTCTGATCTCCCCTCAAGAGTGGCTGTGCAGGGGAAGAGTAAGTTCCATCCCTACCCAGCCTGGGGACTAGTAGCTGGAGCCTAGGGAACAGTAGAAGCCCCTACTGGAGCACCCCCAGCCCTGCTCCTCCCCACCAAGAGCTAGCTTTCACAGGGAGGGGTTATTTCATGGTCCGTGACATGTTTTTCACAGCTGTGAATTTGGTAGGGTCCTACCTATAGGGTTTAGGTTCTGGCTACTTGAGCAGCTACTCTCTTCCCAACATGCTTAATAGAACCTAGATTTAAACATCCCTAATGGAACATTTACACTGAAGCAGTCTCTACTTTGGAACTCACTATCCCAGTGCTCCAACAGTTCTAAAGGCAGCAGACCTTGGGGGACAGTTCAAGGTAATTTCTTTTCTCAGCTGTTTCCTTGAGCAGGATTGTTTGAGGGAAGTTTCCTTTTGCAAAGAAACATGCAAAAAATGTATGTTTACATTCTACACACTCTCAGGGCACACTAACAAAAATGAAAAGCAGTGGAAGAGAATGCCAAGTTATCAGTGCCTGTCTGCTCCATCTACAGCAATACAGAAGGCCAAGCAAGATAAGGTGAAGGCTGTTCAGATGCCATACCAAATTAAGAACAAGTTACAAAAGCATTAACATCTTACCAGTCTATGTGAATGGTATGTCATGGCCAGGAAATGTCAGTAGCATTTTATATCTACATCTTGCATTAAGCCAAAGCATGCTAGTGTTACTCCCATTTTACAGATGAGAAAACAAGATTTTCTGCAGGCTATGCAATGGAGTCAAGCAGTGCCAGGATTAGCATTTAGAAGTTCCCAGATTTACAGTCCTATGCTCCTTCCATTATGGCATGTCTCATTTCTAATTACTAAGACAAAACGGAATCATTTCCTTCCACAACTTAGTTTTCCATTACATTTGCCAATCAGTAATGAATAAAAGGCCTAGATCAGATGGTCTTGTGCTGATGTGAAAGAAACTAAATATGTAGCTGGATTGTTTATTCTAACTTTTCAGTAAGTACCCAGTCCATTTGGGCTGCTTACTTTATGACAATACCTTGAAGAGCAACTTAAAGAAAAAAAAATCAAGTTGGGTAAGCATTGATATACAACATACCCAAATGCAGTGCAACCTATGCTGCGCACGGATTCAAAATGCTTTTAAAAACAGAATAGAATATTTGGCAAATAGAGATATGCCAATTATGGCATGATCCTATTTACTGCGTATCAGCTTTTCACCTCACTCTTCAGGCGACAAAAGCCTGCTAAACATCAGGCTGAATTGTTATATAAATTCCCACACTACCTCTTTCAGAAAAATTGTAGCCCTGTTGTAAGGCCAGAATAAAATTAAATTGCAAGTGAGTTATCAGGTTTTTTTTTAAAAAAGTAATGAGCTATCTTTCATCCAAGTTTGGAGTAACCCATAACCTTAAGCTACTTACTTCCAGACCTCTGAAGAAGTCTGTTTTAATATAGGTTTGATTTTTTTCATCTTTGCTATAATTTAGGCCTGCACCTTTCTTTGATCTTATACAATGTAGAGAATCAAAATATCCTCACAATACCCAACAGCAGTTTTAGAAAATCCCAAACATAAGTATACCCGCAGTAAATATGGGAAGTTTTTTTTCAGCAGGTTGGTCACAATCTACAACAAAACATTTATTGGACTTTAGAAAAGTTTTTATTACCTTTGCTCTGTAGATGTATCCCAGAACTACCACCACAACTTCAGTGATGAAAACCAAGAGGAGGATGATCACAAACTGTTAAATACAATCCAAAATATTTATATTATATGTAGCTTTACTGACATGCTTTTTGAAAACCTAAACTCTGCCTTTCTGGTTTATCAAACTTGCCAGGCAAGTTATTAACTCGGCAACTAATTTATAGAAACAGTCAACCGAGTGGATCATTCCAAATAATCCATCCGTACTTAAGTTCATCTAAGTAACTGAGTGTTCATGGTTTCAGCAGCCAACAAAAATCAGAAATGTCAACAAAGATTCAGGCAAATGTCCATTTAGAAGACAGCCACATGTTGGCATACTGCAGCCATGTATATGTTTCTCCATTCTAGTAGCTTTAAGAGAACACCAAAGTCAACTGCAAGAGAAGGTTAAAGTAGTCAGACAAGGAAATCAAGTCAGAGTTTAAGTACCAAAGGGCCCACCAGATCTAGTCTGAACTCCTGTATAACACAGGCCACCAATGCCACCCAGCACCTGCAGATGAAATCTAACCAAAACTGGACCAAAGTATTACAGCCCACAGGACACTTATCTATTATGGGACACAATTTTTTAAACACATTAGTACCATATACATAACATGTATTTGAGTAAAAATAAGTGAATAGATGGCAAACGGCGACAGAAACTGAAGTACTAATTTAAACACAAGTACAGCTTGGACAACACAGCCCCTATTCCTATTCCAACACTACAAAATACTTGTAGTGAGATTCTATCTCCAGTGGCATCCACATAATTTTAGTTTTAAGTTTCAGCTTTCTTAAGCACAAATGTGTTTTAAAGAATTTTTTTTAAATGATTGAATACAGATGTACCCTGAAGAACGTTAACAGTATTAATCTTTTTTACTTTAACCAGATCGTTCCAAAGAGAGACATTGGAAGGACCTTAGATAAAGTTTCAATACCAAAAAATACTGATTTAATACATTCCAACACAAAAAAACTGAGAAGTGTTTTAGGATAAAATAAGTAAAGGAAAAAAAACTGCGCTTGTAAAACAAGATTACAAGAGTAAATATCTAAAAACCCAAACGTACTTGACAGCGTCCATTTTAAACACTATCAGTAAGGCTCTGTTCATTCAAAGGGAACACTAAGGCCAAATATATATCAGAACATGCAATAAAGCCTCAAAAATTCATGTGAAACACAGCAACTTACAGTGGCAAGTCCACAGCGACTTTCACGGATTGTGGCACAGCACCCAATAAGTCCGATAATAAAGAGAAGTGTCCCCACAGCTATTATAACCACTGCTGGAATAAGCGTATAGACATCTTCAAAGAAGTGATCGTAGTCGTCATACGTTATGAAGACATAGGCTCCCACATAGCACAGAATGCCTGCTGCTGCCTACACACACACAAAAAAAATAGGGTCATCAAATTCTCCATAAATCCCAACAGTTAGTTTATTTTTTAAACACAATCCTCTACAAGTGGTTATAATTTCATAATGAGTACCTTAGCAAGCATTTCTAATGTCAATAAAACAGCCCTTCTGTATGACCACAGCTATAGACACTTACCTGATGACTGGTGAAGTATTGGCTATATCTAGACTGGGGAAAGTGGAGGTTAGTGGATCGTAAACTCCAATGTTTTACCTAGTCTAGATATCTGTTAGATTAGGTGAAAGGCTGAACCCCAGTCTAACCCCAAACTCATCTGCATTTAAACTAGATAAACACTGGAGTCAGTTCACCTCTACCTGACCTCCATACCCTTAAATAAGGAAAGAGAGAGGTTGTGTTGCGAACATTGCACTCCTGTGTGCCCCCTTCCCAAACATGCGTCCCATGAACTAATATGATTGTCCAAGAGCTCGTCTACACTGGCAATTTACAGTGCTGCAGCTTTCTTGCTCAGGGGTGTGAAAAAACCGCAAGTTTCAGTGCTGTAAAGTGCCAGTGTAGACATTGCCCCAGCGCTGCACCGCACCCACACAAGGCACGTTAAAGTGCGGCCGCGACAGTGCTTTAATATTGCCAGTGTAGACTCGCCCTAAATAACCTGCCATACACCGCGTACTCCTTTTCTTTCTGCGAATACAGACTAACGCGGCTGCTGCTCTGAAACACTCCTAATACTGTTGACAGTAAGGGCTTGTAAACACTGGCAAGTTTCTGTGCAGTAAAGCAGCTTTTTGCACTCCAACGGCCAATGTGTACACACTGCCAAGCCATGCTGTGCGCAGAAACTCCTCAGTTGCAGCGCTGCAAAAAACCACCTCGACAAGAGTCGTAAGGCTACTTGCGCAGAGGCTCCACCGCTCCATTGCCAGTGTAGACACTTGATTGCTTTCTGCACTGTAATTGGCCACCGAAGCTGTCCCATAATGCCTCAGTGAATGCTCTGCTCCTTGTTTTGAACTCAGCAGCCTGGAGATGTGCACCCCTCCCCTTTCAAAGCATCATTTCCAAGAGCCCTTGAACGCTGTGCTGATCTGCTTCGGGACACAAAGCAAACCATTAACGTGGAATACAGCAGCTCGTGCTGTTGAACGGAAGCAGGGGTGTGTGTGTGTGTGTGTGTGTGTGGTGACCAGATGTCCTGATTTTATAGGGATACTCCAGATTTTGGGGGCTTCTTATATAGGCACCTATTACCCCCCTACCCCCATCCTGATTTTTTACACTTGCTATCTAGTCACCCTATGTGTGCGCACTGTGCAGAGAGCCCAGGGCTGATGTTGGGGTTTCCTCCCTCCCCCTGCCTCAGGACTGGTTGTTTCCTGCCACTGTCTGAACTTATAAGACAGCATGCTGACACACTGTCCCCCCAAAACACACTACTCCCCCCCCACCGCACCCAATACACTCACACGCTCTCCCCCTACCAACTTCAGTTGAAAAGCAGCTGGCAACGCAGTGGGATGCTCATGGAACAATGGGATTGGGAAACCTGCATCATCTGATGCTGTGCCTGCTCCATGAGGCATTGCAAACCAGAGCACCCTGCAGCCAGCTGCACAGCGGGATAGCTATCACAATGCACTGCTGTCTTTGCCATTGCAAGAGCTGCTAATGTGGATGTGCTCCAGCCTCACAAGGAACACAATGTGGACACGCAACAGTGGTTTAATTCCAGCATTTTAATCAAAGTGGTGTAACTTGTGGTGCAGAAACTTGCCAGTGTAGAGATACCCCAAGGGCTAGTCTACACTGGCAATGTAGAAGCGCTGCCACAGCAGCACTTTAAGGTGGCTTGTATAGTCGCGGCAGAGAGCTCTCCCAGCGCTCTAAAAACCCCATCTCCACGAGGGGCGTAGCTCCCAGCACTGGGGCGCTGTCTACGCTGGCGCTTTACAGCGCTGAAACTTGCTGCGTTCAGGTTTTTTCACACCCGGGTGAGAAAGTTGCAGCGCTGTAAAGTGCCAGTGTCCACAAGCCCTCAGACTCTGTTAAATCCAAACAGCTAGCTACTTGCAGATAATCCAGAGAGTTCTTCCTTCAGATACAGGAACTGTTTTATACTCTAAGATGCATTAATTTTTATTTGGTAAGGAAAAGATTAAATTAAAACCAAGATACCTTTTGTGAAAGGTATGTAACAAGCTTTCCATTTTAAAATAGGTAGTATCTCCAGTTCAAATAAAAATTTTCAGTCAGACAATCGCTGTGTATTATCAGTGTGGTGCGTATCTACAGAATACATATGGTAAGATTTCAACTTCAAAGGAAACATTCTCAGAAGTATTATTGTACGAACTAGCCAGTTTCTGCACAAAGAGGAAATCATTACCTATACTGCTGTAATTTACTAGCAGATTCATGCTGAAGATCTTCTTGCTCCCTCTACTACAAATGTAGAGATGCAACTTATTGAAAAATTCTAACTCTAAACTGAAACTTTACTCTGAAACCTAACTCTAAACTGGTGCATGCAAAATCTCATTCTGATCCTGAATTCCAACTGCAGTAAGACTTCCACTGATTTCAATGGAATTACACTCTCAAAAATCACGGGACTGGACCCGTGAGAGAGTACACTGTACACCAGTAGCAGCAAGTACTTCTGCCTCTGTATTCCCTTTTCTAGTTATACAATGAACCCAGTGTTCTCTCTTCACATCCCCCTGGCCCCATGTCAGCATCTAGAACACTCAAGGTAAATTCTGCACTGAACAGCTTAAATGGGAGAACTATGCCATCTATAACGTAAGCTGATGCAATAAAATAATGGATGCTGTGTACTCAGTTATAATATTCTGTCTGTCAGATGGAAGACTGTCAAACGCAACAGGGCACCCTTACACCAAGTGAAGTTAATAGTCACTACACTGTCTCCTGGTCTACATTAGTATACTGCAATAGATCTGGCTAGTACTTAACATTCATTTAGTAAGTTACAAGCTTTACCAAAACCTTCAGAGTTCCCTAGGCCAGGAACAGCTAGCTGTATTGAAAGAAATGGACTATCACTTTAGAACACTGAGATCATTTTGCGTTAATTCAAACTGGTTTTACAGAGTTTTTATATGACCCCGAATATCATTATTTATCTAAACTGAGTTAAAATGGATCAAGACAGTTCATTATGGGGGCTTTAACGAGCTAGAAACATGAAACTAATCCTGAATCTGAGCTCAGATTCAATGTGTTATATTGTCTCCAATACTAAAAGGTGTTAATCTAAGTCTTCATTTCCCCCATGGGGTACACTCTGTTTTGAACTTGAATAAAAGTGATGATATACTGAATCTGTACATATGAAGTTACATGCAGTGTAGCTCTGGGGGTTTATCCAGTTTGTGTCTCGTCTGATGGGACCCTGGTGCTATGTAGTTTAACTGCAGATGCATATTAATATTTATATCTTAATGCTACTATGTATTTGTATTACAGTAGGGCCAAGGGTGCCCTACTGTGTTAATAACTGCACGAATGAAGTGGGTCCCTACCTTGGAGGGCTTACAATCTAAACACGAGTGTGCGGGCAGGAATGGGGAAGGATCTAATATACAAGTAACCTAAATAATGTAAATAGTAAACATGAGTGTGCCTGGATTTTTTTTTTTAAAATAAACATTTATAAGAAGGGAAGTTGTTAGGAAGATATTAAATGACCAGAAAGAGAAGACGAGACGTGACACTAGAATGATGTTAAATGGTGTAGTAAACATGGTAAGATATGAACAGGGATAAAGTTAAAATAAGTCAGTATTTGGATAAGTTTAAGTCCCAGATCAGTGCCTAAAAATGGAATTGCTCACCTAAGGCATTAGTGATTATATTAGCCTTAATCTGTGAGCATGTCCGTTAACAATGAAAGCTATAAATTTTGGCTGTGTGTAATTTATTTTAGACTTCATGGTGATGTAGGACAGAAAATATTGAGGGGAGGAAGGAAAAATCTGCTGGTTAACTAGTGTGAAACTTTACTATCAAAACAAATTGTGTCTCAGCTGAAGTTTCCTCTTGCTGCAAAGTTTCAGAAGCTATTTGAGAACTACACTCCTGCTGTCATAAGCAGGTCTTATTCTCATGTGAAGAAAATACAAATCTTTGGAAAAAAAGGATAAAGACATTTTTACCATTACAGGTCCTCTTGAATGTACAACACGGGACCCAAACAACTTCTCAGACTTTTCTGAGAATAGGAGCCACAGAAGTGGTAAAGAAATACAAATGCTACTGTTCAGTTGTACAAGTATTTCAATTTTACAGAGCTGATACTTGATTAAAATGAGCTAAAGAACTTCTGGTTCTACACCTGCCTGTTACCTCCTACCAACTTTTGTTTTACAAATTGTAGAAATGTAGTGCTGGACGGGACAACAAGAGGTCATCAAGTCCAATCCTCTGTGCTGAGGCAGGACCAAGTAAACCCTATACCATTTGCGACAGACATTTGTCCAATCTGTTCTTAAAAATCACCAATGCTGGGGAACTCACAACTTCCCTTGGAGGCCTATTGCAGAACTTAACTACCCTTATATTTAGAAAGTTTTTCTGATATCTACCTTAAAATATCCCTTGCTACTGATTAAGAGCATTACCTTCTTGTCCTACTTTCAAAGGACATGGAGAACAATTGAATTTAAAATGGCCATTAACATATCTGAAGACCTTTGAAGTATGCTTTAAAAAAAGTTTCCCCTCCCCCTTGTCACAGCATAAAACATAGGCAAAATTGACTTACTATGCTTTATGCATCTGACAGCATTTCACATAAACTACATGAATTTACCATAATAGAAGTGTTAGGGCTGAGAGATACGATTGCTGAATCAACAGGTTAAATGCAGAAGATTCAGAAAATCCAACCATACATTGCATTCAGAGTAACAGTCTGAAAGAACAAACAAGGATGAGAGATTCAGGCACTCTCAAAGTCTAATCATGGCTCTGC